TGAAAAGAGAGCTCTGGACCCACTAGTTCTATGCAATTTGCCAGGTGGTACTCTTCGGTGGCAACCATTCCGGCAAGAAATGAGTAGAGGATGTCACTGGGATGTCAGTCGTAGAAGCTTCGACAAGCAGCATTTTCAAAAAAAAAAAAAACAAAGAATCGGTAAGATGGAAACATATTTTATTTGAATCCAGACTCTCGAGTACGAATTCTGTACTCTACAATTCAAATACCCCTGATGAAAGAGGGTGCAATAACATCAACTCAATATTCAGTAACGTTAGCCCACCATTTAGTACGCCAAATATCTTCGGACAATTCCATCATCACCAGCTGTCCAAACTTCAATACCACTTTGATTTTCTGGCCCAGACCCAATCACCGCAACGGCTCTCACAGGATCGACGTCTCCTCCCGTAAGTTCGGCATATATTGAAACCTTCCCAGTGTGATCGTCCTCCCCCGAACCCGGATCCTGTGATTCATCATGTGGATAATTAAGCTCAGCAATCCATGGTAACCCGTCTGTCGTAGCTATGACTAGACCAATCCGTTCATTTGGTAGAGTGACGAAAGAAACATCTTCAATAGCAGCATCGGATCGACGGAATTTCAGAATGGCGTTGGATAGCGACTGACTCAAGACATCTGACTCTGCAGATGAAGATTGAGGTGGAATCTCGTAGATATTTATGACGCCGCCAGCGGTTCCTACAGCTAAATAGCCTCCTTTATTCGAAGACGAGGGCGAGACAGCTATAGCTGTCAGTGCACCATGTGGTGATCGTATAGACCTGAACAAGGATTTTGGTCTAGAATCATCGGTCGACGGGGAGATCTGGAAAACTTCAAATGATCCGTCCTGTAGAGCGCAATAGAGTCTTCCGTGGACAACTGAAGCGTTGCTTTTTGCTTCCCCCTCTTCTGTTTCGATCCCACCATCGCCTGATGCTTCACTGAAAATCATCTTGTTCACCCCGACAGCAGATCTCACCACTGATTCCGGTACTTGCTCCCCTTTACTGACGTCCCAAGTCCGTATCATTGCGTCTGTACTGGTCGTCATGATGGATCTACCTCGTCCAAGAATCGCAGTACAAGTGACCGCTCGAGTATGTCCTATCAGGCTACGGACTGCAGGTATACGAGGGCTCTGCTTGTCCGCGGGCACGTTTGGGGTAAGAGACGGTGATAAGGGATTTGCAGGATAAATCTGGACCGAAAAATCGGCACTTGAAGAGAGGATGACCCGTGAAGAGGGGAAAAATCGGAGGGAGGTAACGGTGCTTTTGTGTGCCTTTGGTATGAGCATAGAAGGCGATGAGATGAGCGTCTGTCGGTGAGTTGTATATGTTGCCCTAGGAGGTCCGTAAGATGCCGATGTCGCGTATTTTTTGGTCGACGAGGATGTAGAAGAGGGCAGGGGATGTATGGCGTATAGATAGACCGATCCATCCAAGAACCCAGTCGTCAATTGAGATTTGTCCTCTGCCACCGCAAAGGTAGTGACTCTGTGCGGTCGACGTGTATTCGAGCGTTCAGGATCGGCATACTCTTGAACCGGAGTAAGTAGCCGAACAGGCGGAATAGACAATGATGGTAGAGAGACAATGTACGAGTTTGTCAGTCCTGCGGCTTCTACCATCTTCAAATCACTACCATCTCCTTCCTTCGTGTCCAGATTAATCTTCTCCCTGTCAATTTCATCCAAAACTACCGTCACTTTTGAGTGGGAGGAACGCGACCCAGACGGGAATGATCGTAGCACGATATCCAGATATCTTCAGATGGGATGACACCGTTGTAGACTTCGTTGATCACAGTGGAAAATGTAGATTGAATAGTGACAATTGGAAGTGTCTGTATTGGAACTGGACGATGAGAAAATGAATCGTTTGTAGTGGGCATGGTGGTTTGGAGGAGAAGTAGAAGCTGAGCAAGGAACTGTGGGTGACGCAATCAGGGTAGTTTATGTAAGTTCGAACCACGCTCGTGTCATTTTATTTTTCAGAACTGTCAAATAAAATATTGTGTACTTCAAAGTTCACGAGTCATCTAAATCAGATTGACAGTATCAATAGGCACATGAACATATTCTAATGCAGTAGATGATTTTACAGAACTCCTTCTTACTCCGTTGAGTTTAGTATTGAAATGAATCCAGCTTCAGCCACATGATGAAGGTCAAGTAAACCTTAGTTTCCGATCCAACTAAGCATGCATTAGCACCTGGAAAAGATCAACAAAGAAAAAAATATTCCAACTCAAATTGCAGGACCGGGAATGGGATAATCCTAAATGTGTGAAAAATCGATGAGTGCAGGTACGAACAAGGGTCGGTAAGTATGATTATGCTCACGCTTGTATTTTTGTATGCGTCATAAACTATAGGAGATTCAGCAGTATAGGCTCCAGGGAAGGAGACAAAAGAGTCTGGGAAGGCAGTTCCGGACCCAGTTACTTCGATTTGAATGCAACTCGGATATACTTGGGCACCAGGATAGGTGGTTGCTGGAAGAAGTAGCATTAGCACTAATTCAAGGTGAGTTCAGCCTTATAAAAATATCTTTCTTTTTCTTATTCGGGTTGCTTGTTACCTTATTTACTTCCTTTTCGACCGCATATACCCCATATATGCATTATATGCATTATACCACATGTCTTTCTTTCGACATCCTTTGATCTGACTTTTCATATTCCCATTAAAACGTCAATCTTCTCCCGTACTAACCCCCTCCCCCTCCTCCTCCTCCTCACACAGTCATCACAATCGGTATCTTGACCTCTCAAGGATGCGCTCTCGGTACCGAAAGCACCTCCAACGCTTCAGCGTACCGTATTCCTATCGGTCTTCAGTTCATTTGGGGTTTCATTATTTTCGCTGGAGGGTATATTATCACTGAGTCTCGTAAGTCCCCTACCACCCTTACCCCTCCTCCCCATTCCCTTAATCCTTCCACCAAAAAAGTTCTAACAACCCCCCCTCTAGCCCGTTGGTACGTCAAAAAAGAACTCAACTCACAAGCCCTCACCGCTCTCGCCAAAATCCGTAACCTCCCCCCCACCGACCCCGCGATAACCACCGAATACGAAGAGATCAAATCGATGCACGAATACGAGTTGTCTTTGGGTACACCTACGTATGGAGAGTTGTTTAGAGGGACGTTGGCTCCGAGGACTTGGGTTGGGATTAATGTGCAGATGTTTCAACAGTTGACTGTGGTTAATTTCGTGAGTGTTTGGGCTCTTTCTAGTGACATAGTATCGGTTCTAATTCGTTGACACGCTAGATCTTCTACTACGGCACCGCCTTCTTCCAATCCGCCGGAATCACCAAACCATACCTAATAACCGTAGCCACAGGCGTAGTCAACGTCTTTATGACCTTCCCCGGAATCATCCTAGTCGAGAAACTCGGTCGGCGCAAGTTCCTCTTGTACGGAGCTGCTTGGATGTCCCTTTGTCAGTTGATCGTGGGTGTGATGAGTATAACGAGGGGAGATGAGAAGAGTGGGCAGAACGTGTTGGCGGGTTTCACTTGTTTGTTTATCGCTGGGTTTGCTTCGACTTGGGGGCCTGGGGGTTGGGTTTTGAGTGAGTTGTTTTCTACTTTTTAGGGATCTCCGTCCTTTTTTTTTTTTAACCTCTTTCGCAATTTGCTGATCAAATCCCTCTCCCTTCGCGCAGTCGGAGAACTCTTCCCACTCAAACACAGAGCTCGTGGGATGTCCCTCGCCACGGCTTCCAATTGGTGGTGGAACTGGGTGATCGCGTTCGTGGTGCCGTACATCACCGATGCGGCGTATGGGAATTTGCAGACTAAGATTGCGTTTATTTGGTTCGCTACTGTGAGTCCCCGTTTCTCCTTCCCCATCCCTCTTTTAACCCTCTCTCACATATGACACGCACATATAGTCCCTAATCGGCTGCGTATGGACATTCTTCTTCGTCCCCGAAACTCGGTACCACTCTCTCGAGACTCTAGACGAGATGTTCGAGTCTGGGGTTAAACCTTGGAACACGGCCAAGTGGGTGCCGAGCGGTGCTGATAGGGATTATAGACCTGGGGATATTGGGGTTGTTGGGCATCATGTTAAGGGGGGGAAGGAGGTGGATCATCATGATGCGGAGGAGGAGGGGGAGGGGAGTGAGAAGGAGAAGGTTAGTGCGTGAGTGTAAGGGTTAAAGGGGGGCGAAAAAGTTTTTGATGTGAAATGATGATTTTTCCTTGTTCTCTTGTTCCGCACTTTGTACGCCCAAACTTTTTGTTGGTTGTTTTCGTCGACTCTTCTTGTTCTTTCTCTTTCTCTTTTTTGGGGTGTTTTGTATCTATTATAAAGCTCTACGATAACGATAACGATAACGATATGCATACACACACAATCGGTTTTTATAACGTTACTCTCTTCTTTTTCTTTTTTTTGTAAGTAGACGTTGTAAAAACTTGGTGCTTAGTTTATTCGTGAATCGATATTTTTCTTGTTCCTTTGAGGTTCTAGAGGAAAAAGTAGAGGAAAAAGGAAGGGGAAAGAATGTGTTCTGCATTTGCGTTTGTTCTCTTGCATTGATTGTGCGCGTGTACGTATATATGCGTTGATTGAGAGCGGTGGAGGGACGTCAAGAAAGGCGGATAGAGAGCGGGACTTTCAATAAATTTAAAGGTAGAAAGAGGTTCATCGGAAGCAAGTTACACGAAGAACGGGGAGAGTGTGTAGCGTATAGACGACTTGTTACCTGCTTGCAGTGACAAAATATCAGAGAGGTCAGGGGAGAGTAAGAGCCCTTCCCTGAAAGCATTTCCGGCTTCGACTTTGTATGTTTAGCTCAAAGTCGCAATCCATACCCGGTCAAAATTTGGCAGCAAAGTGTTTCTTATACTATTTTAGATTCTACTTTGGATAGTCCTCGTATCAACTTTTTGATACGAATAAACCCCCTCCCTTCCCCTACGACTCTTATTATTTATTCTCCAGATGATTGTACCTCGAAGCGGATACGTACGGTCCTGTAGTGTAGCGGTTATCACATGGGATTCTGATATTTCATCTGGCCACTGGCCACTTAACTTTCCCATGACCCAGGTTCGATTCCTGGCAGGACCTTGCACTAATAACCCATTCCTTTTTTCGTTTTGGGAAAGTAAACATATAATCCCAGTATACATACATGTACTCATGTACAAGTGGAAGCTCTTGAAGTTGTTGGTAGGATGCGTACACAAATGTAGGTAAGCTTAGGTATGCTCATTTTGTTCCATCAAAACGTCCGATATGTCTAGATAACTATGCCTGGTGTAAGATCTCGCCAATTGACTTCATCCTCTCGAGTCTTCTTTTCATTTCGTCTCAGCTCAGTCGACTCTGAGGTTGAAAAGTACCCTGGAGCTGAATTTAAAGATTTTTCACACACATTCAGAAATGCGCAGCTACGACCAGCTGGTCTGATTCACTCCTTCAAAAAGAATAACACGAGCATGACACTAGTAGTTACATCCGAAGATCCGCGCTGGGCAAGGCTGGGCATTATCCGTCTTCAAATTTATTTGTTCAGATGAGCACATGAAGCATACCAGTTTAAATATGTGGCTCGTTAGTTACATTCACAGAAACGTCCGGACTTGAACGAACAGCCCCAGTGAGATCTAAGTAATCAAGTTCCAACTGAACACTGGGTCCTGTGCGGTTTTTTTGATACCATTACCGCTGCTCCGTTGTTCAGTCAATTGGCTATATCTTTTTCCGCCCGGATCCCTGTAGGTCGTGTTTCGGAAAATCGGAAAACCGGTATTTACTTCAGAAACCGTCATCTACTTATCTGTCCTGGATTCGGATAGGTCCGTCGACAAGTCAGTTTCCATTAACGCTTGGGCAATTTAGAGAGTATAGAATAGGAGATCAAATGAATAAGTCTTGATGAGTTTTTGAGTTAGGCCTGGACTTTTGAGTACACTGGAAACAAATTTGTGTAATTCCAAAGGAATTACAGAAGAATTACAGAAGAATTACAGAGGATAAGTTATAATAGTAATTACAATGAAATTATTGTATTTCCACTGTAATTCCAAATTTTACAGTAATTCCTAGCATAATTCCACTGTAATAGACCACATTTGCTGCAATATATATCAGCGTTTTTATTCCATAAGAAACATTTCAAACCCATTTAGGGCCCGCTCCGAAAACCTTCAAGTGGAGGTTTGGCGGGGCGGCGGGCCATCGCCAACGCCCCTAAACACCAGCCCATACATAACACATCTGGATTAGAACCTAAGAGCCTACCTGACAGACAACATCATGATGCAATGCATAACACGCCCACCTAACCCAGGATCTGTTTTTGTGTCTCGACGTGTCAAAATAGGACCTACTGTAGTATTTTTGTTGGAATTTTTTCGTTGTAATGGAGGATGTAGTACAGTTGACTCTTGAGTTACATATGCTTCTCACATAGGTAGATTCAATCCTTTTTCTTCACACTTCATTTCATTTCTCTCTAACCCTACTTTCCGAAAACTTCATTGTGGATTTGCAATATATCTGCTAGCAAATGTGGTCTAATGTTTCTGTAATTCCTCGGAATTACACAAATTTGCACCCAGTGGTAGTATGTTGGGCGAAGCGATGGTCCCCATTTCCCCTTCGCCTCCCCGCGGTAAATCATTATTTTTCGGGGTAAATGATTATACTATCTCTTTTACGATGTTTGTTTTATGTCATCTTGGATCTTTTAGCAGTGTTAGCACACTTTACAGCCTCGTACCTGCGACATGCAGTGATGGCCTACTTCCTTTCAAGTTTGATAACTGTGGTGCAAGTTACGAAATGATTATTATTATTATTTTGGCCTGTTCAGACAGACTCAGGTGAGGAATTATCATTACATATATACCTATTGGCTCAAGTATCTCCAATATTTAAGTTCAAGGTACACACTAAGTACCAGCAAGATGAACATGTTACAAAGATTCAGTCAAGAGAAGCAGTAGCAGGATAGAAAATGCATTGGAAAGAATCTCCAACAGAAGTTCTGATTGCAAACATTTCTTCAAAAAAGAGGTATGAGTCCTGTCCGGCTTACCATTTCGCTTCTTGATATCGTCCTGGTCATTATTCTGAGCATCATCACCCTTGGCATTCTTGTCCTCGGAACTCTCTTTTTTGTCTGACTTGATCTCCTTAGTCAGATTTGAGATCTGATCCCTGAGAACTTCCTCCCACTTCTCAGGTTTATTGCTCAAAGCTTGGTGAGCGATAGATAACTTCAAGGAAACAAAACTGCGAGCAAATATAAGCAACACCATACCAACACAGAATTATGATGCTCACAGTTCCTTTAAATATGCGTAGCTGAAGTCCTCAGTTTGTTCAGTGACCACACTCACCAGGTTGGTTTGAATGCTCTGAACATTCACCTCTGATGTGGTCATTGCACTAATTACCTTTTTCGACCAAACCTCTGCAAAATTTTTTCTCTCATCTCTCGTAGGAAGCCTGTATGTATACTTGACATCGAAGCGCGAAGGTCGGTTGATAATTGCTTTGTCAATCTTTTCCGGATAGTTGGAGGTTGCAATGGTGAGGATGCCGTGGTTAGGGGCAAGCCCATCTAGTTCGTTGAGAAAGATGCTCTTGACCTCATCCGTTAACATTGCATCCAAATCTTCAAGTACGAGTATGCAGGGCGCATGCTGACGTGCATGGGCGAAGATGGTCTGCACCCCAAACTGAGGGCTCATTCCCTATCTCCACTAGTCAGTCCATGTATCGATATTAGACTATGCGCGGGGGCTGAAAATACTTACACGATGTGTAGTGAAAGTTTTGACATATAGACCCCGGCAATTCTGCCTTTGGAGAACTGAATCCTTCAGTAAGACCTTGATTGATTCGGTTTTGCCATTCCCCGGCGGGCCTAGGAGGAGGATCCCGCGTTTCCACATAACTCCGAGCTTGTTGTATTCTTCCTCATTTGAGAAGAATTTATCGACATCTCGTTTGAGACCCTCCTTTATATCGGATGGGAGAACAATGTCTTCCCAGTTCATGTCCTTTATGGAATCTTCAAGCTCCTGATTTGGCTCCCAGTCCCCGAACTGGTATTCCCAAATTCTTGTTGGGGGCTGAAGAAAGCTGAAGGCATAGACAGCGCTAGCGAGTGCTTCGCCCGGTTCAGAAGTCGGTGCATTGAAGACAAAGTCATACAAATTTTCTGTGTTATTTATTGTATACACGGCTGCTTGGTAGACAGTGTATTCGATACCGCCGTAAGTGAAGGACAGGATACCGTGGGACATCCGAGACTGAATTTGTTGATCTCGAGTTGAGTATGAATAGAGCGAATATGTGTCTCGGGTATGCTTTCCATGTGTGCGCACATGGGTTTGAACGTCAATACCTTCTTTAGAAAGATAGTCAAGGAGAGGAAAATTATGGGGAGCGTCGAGGATGGGAACGTGATGTTCTGTTGGATGTAATTGGTAAAGGTTTTTAAGAATGTTGAAGGTCATGTAAGAACGATTCTGGCTAAACGCCGAGTCGAGTACCTTGAAGTAATCCATGAGGGCTTGCAAGCGGGTAAGTGGGGGAATGGGGAGGTGGTGCGAGCAGTTCCTCTTTTATGCGATCAGAACAACCCACTTCAGATTTTGTACATCAGCTCACGATGGTAACAGAAATAATCCTTGAGAGTTTGTATAGTAAGTTCCAGCGATGGAAATCCTTGCAACTCAACATCTGAAATGTATAGTCTTTCCTGAAATTCCCCGGTGCCGATGATTTATGACAATGGTTGACAGGAGTTATGCACCTAGTGAAAGAGATCGACTTTAATCAAGGCAAAGTATTGACTTTGTTACGTTCTTGAGTGGTACACGTGGGGCATATAGGAATTTAAGATGCATGTCAAGATGCACTCAAGATGCGCGTGAGATGCATTTAAGATGCATTCAAGATGCATTCGTGACATATCCAACTAGTATTTTTATTACATTTATGGTTATTAGACATTGTTCCTACCCTATACCAATGTAAATAATGATTCTAGAGAAGCTCGCAAAATGAGTCTGTCGGATAAAAGTATAATCCATGTGTTTTCCATTTTCAACTACAGACGGAAACCGGGAAGCGAAACGCGCCATAGAAGCGAAACGTATATAATATGACCAAAAATAGACATATTTTCCCACACCTACCAGAACCAGAAGAACAAGAAATTATCCAGAGCGGCCCAAAACCAGATGAAAACCCGCTCCTCGAGATGCTTAGAGGGGGGTTTACAAGGTCTCTGAGTTGACCTGCTTCATTGAAATTTAATGCAGAGGTCAACAAACAGCCAAAACCGGGCGTTTCGCTTCCCTGGTTTTGACATGTTTTTCTTCCAAAAAAGATCTCGTCCAAATCTTTATCATACGGAACTCAAATCTCTCAGAATTTTTTTTAACTTAAAGAACAGATCAAGAAGAATAAGAAAAAAAAAAGATTCAAATGAATCCTTCAATATTTCGCGCCGGAAATGCGAAATAGCTTAGGCGTTTCGCTTCCCGGTTTCCGTCTGTATGTTTTTTGTGTAAATACCATGAAAAAATTTCGTGAATATCAAAACAATTACATATACATAATCTATAATACTTGACTGTCCTCTGTACCTAATTTCAGATTTTTTGACCGTGCCGTTGAGTCGAACGGATCGAGGCAACTAGTCGTCAGTCGGTTTGGAAGGTGAAAATCCGGCCGGACCGAATAGACAGCCCATTAAAAAGGGACAAAAGAGAAAGATGGTCTTGAAAGAGTTTATTGAGAAGGATTCCAGGGAGGTTAAAAGAAGAAGGTTACATAGGGTTTGAATTGATATTTCTGAATAACTTTGTGTATATAACAAAAAAGTAGTTTGAATTTGTCAATGCATTGAAATTGTATTTAAGATGTCCCAAAATGGACTGAAGATCATGATGCAATTGAAATGTGCACTTAAGATGTGCACTTTAAGATGCCCTCAAGATGCTTTAAGATGCATTTAAGATGCTTTAAGATGCACTTAAGATGCTTTAAGATGCTTTTAAGATGCTTTAAGATGCACTTAAGATGCTTTTAAGATGCTTTTAAGA